GAGCGACATTTAGATTAGGTTATTAAACAAGGGGCGGAGGTTACGTGTGCGTAACACATTTGCAAGCAATTGGAAATTTTTTGAACCAATTTGTGCTGATTCTTATCATAGAATCATAGGATGGCCTGGGTTGAAAACGACCATGCTGATCATCTGGTTTCAAACCCCCTGCTGTGTGCAGGTCGCCAACCAGCAGCCCAGGCTGCCCAGAGCCACATCCAGCCTGGCCTTGAATGCCTGCAGGGATGGGGCATCCACAGCCTCCTTGGGCAACCTGTGCCAGTGCCTTACCACCCTCTGGGTGAAAAACTTCCTATTAAATTCTTCCTGAATCAGTGACTTCAGTGGGAGACTGCCTCACATAAAAACTCCTGAATTTGGTCCTAGGTTGAACCATTATGGGCAGCAGCAGAGGAACTCAGATGCTTGCCCCACTGCTGCTGCACCGGGCTGACTCCCAGCACCCTAGGAAAATCTCCTTGGAAAATCCCAGCGATGGTTTATCTGAAATTAATTTGCCCACATTGTTAAGTCAATTACCCGAAGGAGCAGAGACTCGATTAAAAATCTTTTTAGTTCAGAAGGAAACAGCATACTTGGGATCAATTTTTTCCTATCCTTGAGTGCAAAGATTCTCGTTGTATCCCTGTATAGATGATAAAGGTAGTGCACTACCCACTCCTGCACAAGCATGACTGAGCAGGCAGAGGTCTGTGTCACCGGCACCAGAGAAAGACGACACGAGGGACATGGCAGACAAGTGGGGTCTGTCCCCTGCTGGCACCTGGATGCTGCCCCACACCGCCAGGAGGTCGCTGCACCCGTCTCACCCAGAGAAACTCTCCTGTTGTCAAGCCTACAGCAAACTGTGTCCAGACAGATTGGTGTTCTGCTCAAAGGAGCCCGCATGAATCATGTATTAGTTCATTTAAAAGCACTTTGTAGACAAACATGCTCACTCTATCAGCAGGCACGGGGATGCAAATACTTCACTGGGTGTATATGAGCCTTGACAGGACATCTGTGATGCATGGGATTGAGAAACAGCTCGCTCTGGAAAGATCAGGCAATAACGAGCAAAAAGGCTCACCGTATTTTGTTCTTTTTTTTTCTTTTTTTTCTGCAAGATGAAAATTTAACTTTGCCTTCGTGTTGGAAGCAGAGTAAACACTATCAAACAGAAAGCCAGCAGCAGGGAGAGGTAAATGATTTACTAGATATTCTTCAATCATTTAGCAAGAAGGCAGAAGGTTTTGGTTGAGGGTCCCAGGCACTCTTGCAGAAGGCAACAACCCCCCAGCAGTATTGATGCTGGTACAGCTGCTGTGAGGGATCGTCCTTCAGAGGTGAGGGGGAATTAGAAGCAGTTAGATTTGGGAAATACTAATGGCAGCTTTGGTACTCTTGCTGCTTGGCAGATGCTGATTGCTCCCTGTAAATGAAAGCAAGCTAATGAGTGTGTGCAATAGCAAAATATTTGGTGGACTCTCATTAGCAGATAGAGTACATAGAATTAATTTTGCCGAGATAATTGTAGAATAATTTATTTGCATAGAAAATCTAGTTTGTGGAAAGCATCCTGGAAGAGATTCAGACCCGCATGGACTTTGTCTATAAATGGTTCCAAATAAATTTGATTCACAGAGAAAACACTGTAGTCTTATAAAGACTGTAAGCATGGGTGTCAAAGACACAGTTACTCAATATGAGGTGTGAAGAATGTTACTTTCTATTTCTGCCCTGAGGTTGGTGGACGATGCAGAGATGTCTTCACGATGAGTACGACACAAACTCACCAGTCATGTGTACGCACGTTTGCTAATTTTTGTCCCATTTCCTTTACTGCCACACGAGTGACTCTCCCAGTCACAATAAGCAGCACAAGCCCCTCATTCGTCTACATTTTGTGCATGTTTGGTTTTGGGTTTTCAGAAAATGCAGGAATTCATTTCTTCTCCTGAAATCCTAATTTTACCTTAGCAGTAAAACAAGTACTGGCAATAGTAATTCAGGCAAACAGAGTATTGTTACTGTTCCCAGAAAGGCAATATATTTGAATAGCTCTGCATATTTAACAAGGAAGATGTGTTTTGAGCAATTTTTAATAAAGTAATATTTTATATTTCCCATTTCACCCTTGCAGGAAACTGCAGAGATCAGTTTTGGATTGAGATTGCATCCCCAGCCTTGGATCCATTAACGTCCTGGAAGGCACACATGAAAAAAGAAAAATCCCCCTACTTACACCGTGAAGAGGTGCTAACAGCTTTAAAGAATTACCCACCAAATATTAGGTGCAATTTAAAACTACATTTAAAGCAGCATGGGTAGTTTAAAAGTCTACGTGGCCGGCTAAAAGTCGGAGAGAGAAAATTGCTTGAACACGTGTTGGATGAATTTCTTCTGTCTGTGTGGGAGATATTGCACTGGGGGGGTAATATACCCTCCTTTAAAACAAAAAAAGAGGTAGATCCTTTATCTGGTCCTTTGCATGCCATGTGATTCCAAATCCGGGCAAAAGCCTTCAGCTCATTTCCATTTACTACGCAAAGAACACAACTCTGCTATCTAAGCATTGTGAAAGATTATTTATAGTGAAAGACATCCTTAGGCTAAGCTATTAAGTGAGGATAATGGATACGAGCCACCTAAGGCATGCGGAGGATTCATTAATGAATTACTGGGTAAAACAAAGTCAGATGCACTCAGGTAGCGGCCAGCTTAAGCAATGCACTGTTACAGGGCCAAGGAAGGATCACCTCATGTGAAGACCTGGAAATTGCACCACAAAATGTTCTAGGCATTGCCCTACACTTACTTTGAGGGCTCTTCAAGGGACTGTTCAGATCATCCTCTGCAATATTTACTCAGCTTACTGTATGCTGTATCAACTTAAAGATGCACTGTAACATTAGACAGTTATCAGCTTTCGTTTTTAGCCCTGATCTATTTTATAAACCCTGATGCCCCTTGTTTTATGTAAGAAAAAAAGAAGGATGTTTTAATAGATATAATCTAAATTAGTTGGTAACTCAATAACTCATTTCAGTCTGCTTCTCTAATGAAACCTGCACTAATGACTGCCTTCATTAGGCAGTCCCAAACTTTAAGAAGGCATTTAAAAATATTCATAACATTTCTGGTGCAATGTTGTTTGAACTGTATTTAACAGACATCTCGAATGGGCTTTCTTTGCAGGAATCATTGTCAATAATGACTTTTGCAGCACTGTCTTAGGGGCCAGGGCAATAATTTCAGTCGTGGCCACGGGGCCAAGTCCCCATGTGTGCCGTGTGCTGGGCCAGATGTGAGGAAAAAAACAACAAATTAAGTAATAGTCCACACTGTAATTGGGAATAAACTTTCTTGAGGATTAGTCAAGGCACGCGTTTCTGAAAGTCTTTAAGAAAACAACTAGCTAAAGATGTAGTTGTAACCTAAAATCTTTCAAAAAGGAAAAACAGTTATACAAACTGCAATAATGAATATTAAATATTGAATTTGCAATTAGTGTCAATTATTTAAAAAAAAAAAAAAAAGCAACCAATTAAATGCTGCAACATAATGCACCTGAAATCTTGTAAATGCAGTGGCATTGGTAGCAAACACTAAGAGCTCCTTTAAGCCAGTCACTGCTTAAAGACTTTCACTTTGGGAATCAGCGTTACCCTAACACATTTACTTAGATATGTTGAAAGTCATACTTAACCTTTGCTCAGTTGAAATAACTTTAGCAAAAAAAGAATGGAGTAAACAGAACCTTCTCTGCAAATGCAAATGGTAATGCAATCAGCGCTCAGTAAACAAATACAGAGATGTTTGAGCCATAGCCTGAACACTCAGGTTGTTATAGGGGTTGCCCTGATCCCTGCTGAGCAGAGGTGGCATCCATAACCTGGTGCTCTTGGGACACTGAGCTGCCATTCTGCATTCTATCAGCTTTTAGAAAATAAATCCAAGTCTGACTCAGAATTACAAAGGAGTAGAGAGCTCTAAATGGGTTTTAAACAGTTCAAACCCCAATGCATGAGCAGAATTTGGGCCAAATGTCCTGCCAGGGGCCAGTCAACAGGAGCCCGCTGCCAAGAGCCGATCCTTAGATCAACACCTCATCCTTAAGGAAAGCCTGGTCTGGAAATCAAAGGCAGCCCACCAAAAAAGAAAAGAAAAAAAAAAAATAGGGGGGGGTGTGGGGAAGACATAAATCTGTGTTGGCTCCCAGCCCAGTGAGATCTTCCAGTATGTTTTTGCTGATGCTGCTTCTGGGATGGGACAAAGGAAATGGATGACACTGAGATGTCAGTGGCAGGAAGACCACCGGATTGCCCGTAAAGCAGCAGCAGGCAGTGGGTGTATGTGACAGGGCTGTCACAGGGCTACAAGTTCATCCCTCCAACTATTTTTCTGCCTTAAGGGATTTGCAGCAGCTCAGCTAAACCTGCTCAACATCTAAAGTGTGCTGAGAAGGGCTCTGTTGGAGAGGTGCAGTACTGGCAGGGGTAGGAGAGAAGCAGGGCTAACATGGGCGATGCTTCTCTGAAAGCAAAAAGCATCCCAACAACTGGAAGGGACCTGAGGTTCTGTAACTGCAAAATCAACGTCAGATTCTGCTGAAATTCCCTTGGGCAGTGATGGAATGGGTATTTCTCTGTGAGACGTCCAAATCAGATGCACAACACACCCAAAAAACAGGACTTCATCCCCCAGAAATACGGACCATCTCTGCTTCTCTTTTAAGCAACTGCTCTGCAAGCATCTCTGAATTATTTCCCTTACAGGCTTCGGTTTTAGCAGTTCCTTATTTAGTATTTCTAAGGACCCATCTGTAGGATATTATATGAAATACATATACCTAGTAACAGATAACGACAGTAAGTTACAAATGTGTGTTCCTCATAAATAGTACCAGTGAAGAAGGACACAGTTAACCAGCCAAAGAGTGACCAAATTCTGTTTCTTCTCTGCAAGAAAGAGATCAACAAAATCTGTTAATCCATTTGTGTAGTTTCTTTTATTTTGTATTTATTTGCTTATGCACAAGAGAATGAAAACCTGTTTGCAGCTGTAACTTCTACAGCGCGTCACATATTTTCTTTCTCTTTTATTATTATTTTTTGTCTTCCATAATTATTTTTCCAGAGAGCTGCTTTTCCAATCAGGTCCCCAACTCTGAAAAACAAAACTTCAAGGCAACGTTTTGAAAAATTGGACCTCAGTTTTCTTTCAGTAGAAAAATTCACATCATTCGTGTGCAAGCCAAGGCTCAAAAATAACATAAATCCTTTCAGTGCCGTCTCTCTCTTTGCCTGTGTAACAGATATCTCTGCTAACATTTACTTTTGTAATTTTTCACATTGTTCTAGCTCTCAGAGGTTAATATTTACCATTCATTTTGGTATTCACAAGCTACAGAGGTAAGCTTGCAAATATCTGCCCTGGGAAAATGAGCAGTTCTGCCAGAAAATATGTTCAGGTTTCTTGGTGGAACTGTGGGAGACAACACTCCATTGACAGCATTTCACTGCATTCATCTGTTCATGCTTCAAACATCTGTGCCATCAATTCCTACTGTACAACATTTGGTATTTTGAAGGGATAACCAGATAATTACAGCAAATGTTTATTAGTCTCTTTGAACGGCGAGCATGCATTGGAGGAAAAAAAAAAGGAAGCGAGCTTACGAAGAAATACAGTGAACAGAGACATATTTGGGAAGTCACTGCTGTTATATCCTTACACCAAGCATGCAGTCATTCTGTGGTTGGCATCTGCACACACAGTGTCGTGTGCTAGCAAAATTCATCATAAGACAGAGCTGCCTGCAAAAGCTGACCCACTACATGCAATAATATCAAATCCTAAATGAATTAATTTGCTTGCTGACCAAGTAGTTTGCCATATTAAAGTGCAAGTTTGCAAGACATGTATTCTATTATCCCAGATTGCACTCCTGACACTTTACATTATGAACATTTAGCATTCTTCCTTTGATATTTTGAACACTGACTACAATGAAGCTGTCAGCACAAAGGAATTTTTTATTCAATTTTCAGATGTAACAAGCAAGGATCTTAGAGAACCTTCATTAAGACTATGGAAATAATAGGGATTCAATTATCTAGCTATGGAAGACAGAAGAATATCTTGACAGGCACAATAGTAAGAGATATGAAACAGCTTGTGAAAAAAGGAGAGGAGAGGAGAGGAGAGGAGAGGAGAGGAGAGGAGAGGAGA